TCTTATGTCGAACATCCTTTTAATCTACCTACATTTTTTCAAGTATCCTACTTTATCGGTCAATCATTCACGTGAACTCTTGTTTTTCGCCCACTCAGTTTGAGCTTAGCCTCAGTTTATATTTTTTTCAAGGAGTAGGTAGGAACTTATGCAATAAAGTGACAGATGGACATATTAACTGGATTACTATTGGTTCAAACAAATTGCAAATCGATGCTAGAAAAGAGCCAGTCAGCCTGTGAGACAAAAAAGTTAATAAAGGTGGTGAAAGATGATGAGAGAATTATCGATTTTGACGTGGGTAAGCGTTTTCTTTCCTCTAGAATAGTTTATAGGGACTGGTTGTTAACCTTGTCTTCCATTGCATTTAGCTTGTAAACATTCTGTTTGTATGGGCAACAAGGCAATAATCACATGGGACAGGTTTAATGAGCCTTTTCGACAAGACAGACGATAAAAATAAACCAGATAAATAGGAAAGGACTAAAACAACATTCTATGAACAAGAGTATCAGAAAGACTAATCTTCTTGTTATTCGGACAAGAATGATGTCAATAAGTGACACAAGCGATACAATGTGAATGAAATTGAGATAGAAATTCTTCCTCAATTTGGCTTTGTCAATAAAATTTCGAAATTTAGTAGCCTCAACAAAATAATTTTGAGATTAATAGGTTACCAGTGAGGCATAAGTTTAAGGTATCAACCATTCAAGTGGCCTGGAAGTTGAGTAACTTGCATATAAGAAATTTAGGTCTTTACTACTTATTTGATGACCAGTTTGGTTACGGATAATTTATGTTTATATTTATATGACACTTCAGGGTTGCTTCCTTCTAAGGTGAAACACGATGCAGCATTATGTACTATGCTTTGTTTTATATGTCTACTGACGTTCTAAACGTGTAGACCTACTAAGCGTTTCGTAAAAGTGGGTGAATAGTAAGCTATTTGGGTCATTAACACCATAAACTGCCTAAGATTATAAGATGAGATTTGAATAATCTAAGAGACAACAAAATTCCACAAAATCTATGAGAAAAAAATTTGTATTTGACTTGAAAATATAGAAAGTTGAAGCCACCTACGCGCTGAGTTATTCGCTATCAGACCAGGTTTTGAATTCGCATAATGATACTACAAAAACTTAATGTAGGCTCCAACTAAACTATCTGTTACAATAAAACATCATTATATCTAGTTACGAAATCGAATGCCAGCTGTTTATGGGGCTTAAGTTGTACATGACAAATAGCCTGTGAGGCAGAATCTGAAGCTAGCATATGTTACTATTCAGAAGTTATTATGATTATTTTTCCCTTGAGTTCCTAGTGGGACGGCTTTAGTAGCTCGCCTCCATTGCACTCTGTTCTCTGAAGTCTTTTGAATCTGGCTCTACGACTGCCCACAAACTTTCACTCCTTCCTCACACCATCTCTTCCGTGTCATCCTTGGTCGCCCAACTCGTCGTTTCCCATGCGGGTTCCACTCGAGGGTCTGCCTGGCGCGTGATGTCCCCAAATGGTCTTCTCATTATATGTCCTATCCAGTCCATCTCCACTTTCTTCTGCATACTTGTTGGGCGATGGGTTCCTGGTTGGTTCGTTGTCAGACCAGAGTTCCTTATTGCTTATTCTTTCTGATCATCTGAGCTTCAGTATCGAGTGAGCATAGGCGGCAACTGTTGGTGAATGTCTGTAGTTTGTTGGAGATGCTTTTCGTAACGTGCCAAGTCCCTCGACCATCACATGGAAGCACTGACTCGACATTTGTGTTGAAAATCCAGATCTTGTTTTTTACGCTGAGCGCAGTAGATCTCCATGCTGATTTCAGATTAATGGAAGCCTGCCTTGCTTTTCCGATCCTGGTTAAGACATCCTCACCTGTGCCGCCAACTGTAGTTCAATCGATGCTGCCTCATCTAGATAGGTGAAAGAGACTACTTCTTTTAGGTTTCTCCCGCTGGTGGTGATTGAAGCTTGTTGTTGTTGTTGGTGGCGTTGCTTGGGTATCTTCATCACCTCCGTCTTCTCTACGTTCACTTGAAGTCCAGTCTTTGCTGCCTCTTCTGTCAACTTGTTAGTTTTCGCCTGCAGATCTTCGAGTTTGTGCAACATTAGACATAAATCATCATTGGCGAAATCGAAATCTTCTAGCGTCTTTTCATCGGTCAAACAGCGTATGCCCATCTTCTCGCTCCTCACGGCTTGCTGCATGATCCAGTCAAATCCATTTCACCACAATCAGAAAGATCATTGGTGAAAGTAGCCGTCAGTCTTGTCTTACTCCTTCCTGTCTTCACTTCAAAGGCATCACTGAGCTTCCCATTTTGAATTACTTGGTATGTGGCGCCTTCATATAGTTGTTGAGTGAGGTTGATAAAGGTACATTGTATTCCGTAGTGTTGAAGCAACTGCCAAATTACTTCTCGATCGACGCTGTCGAAGGCCTTTTCAAAGTCGATGAAGTTGAGATAGAGAGTTGACTGCCTTTCTGTACTCTGTTCTATGATGATGAGTAGCGTTGCAATTTGATCCGCACATGATTTGTACTTCTTGAATCCAGCCTGTTCCGGCTTTAATTTTAAATCCAGAGCATCTTTTGGTCGCTCCAGGATTATGCGGCATAATATGTTGCTTGGGTGGACAGCAGCATGATTCCGCACCAGTTCTTTCAATGGCTTAAGTCTCCCTTCTTTGGGATTTTGACAATGTACCTCTATTTCCAATCTGCAGATACCTTCCAAACCTTCTGCGGTAGTTCAGATGTTATATTGCACTGAAAAAATTCAAGCGCACTTTACAACCCCTTAGTAAAGGAAATGTATTGTTTTGAGGAGTAGAAACAGGTTAATGGTGTTTACAACATATACCTGGTAAGATTCTCACTCCCGATGTGAACGCTTGTGGAAACTAAAGGAACTGATCCACGAGGAAACTGAAACAGATGTTTGAAGACTCCTGGATGAAATAACACAAGATGCGTTACAGTTTATTTAAGTCTATAAATTATTATTATCTTTCTTTATTTCGTTCTATCTTCTAGATCTGTGTGTTTTTAGTGCTGTTGATGTTGGTGTTTTTATTCCTGTCTTTTCGCTCGTTGAGTTTCTTTATATATGCTTATGAGGCGATACATTACAATGTCATCCAGTTTTAAACTTGTTTCTGTCTTCTGAGAATTCAGAGGAAAATATAAGTTTTATTTTAGTTAGCATTTAAATACCATCAACTAAAAAAGGTTTCTAATAACTGCCTATGCACAATGAAGGTGAATTATACTTTCTTGAAGCCAGTATAAAATAGGTTACTGATATACTATGGAATTTTTCACTATCCTAAAGTTTAGACCAACAAAGTGAGTTAAGCACCAGTTGTTGTACAGCAGTCAGTGGATGGTTACAGACCTTCTAGTTTTTATATTCTAAATCACCTGCGGAATTAAACTAAAATATTTTCCGGTAAAGTTGAAGAGTCCTTATAAGAATTATAAAACATATCTTCTTATGTCAACAATTGAATTTTGAGTTTGTGAAAGACAGGTTGACACACTGAACCACACTTACATAGATTTACAAGTTCGTTTGTTCTTGTGGATCTGAGGGGTACTATTCACTTGCTTTGTAAATTCCCTTGCGAACGATACCCAGCCTCGTTGCTGAACTGTGAGCACAAAACGTCTCCATTTCAGTCGTTGAAAACCTCATAGACTCTGGACGTCTGGCTCCTCCAGAAACCTCGTTCAAAAGTCCCTACAAATTTCAATCAAACCGTTAAGAAAGGGTAAGAATTAAATATTAATGCACAGCAGAAACTTTGGCAAATCACAACTTCAAAACTCAATTGTGTACATGTACAAACGTTTTCCTTACCCTGGCCTTAAACAGATACTCTGTATTTTATGTATTTTTACCAGATATCAAATCTTAGTGTTCAATAGATTTTATGTAACCATTGAGATCATTTCTTGTGCTCAGTAATATTCTTTCATTCCCTGAGTACAGCTGTCAATTAACTTTAATCTCTCACTGAAACATTCTGTCATTTTACTTATATACTTACGGATGTACAGTTATGAAAATGAGTAGTCGAAAACGAAACTATTTGCACTGTAACCTCCATTTGTTTTTCTACACACTGGAACTATTTGAAAAATAACAAAGGCCATGACTTCTTCATCAGTGTGGTCTTGAAGTGTAAGTTAGTTGCGTTTAAGACAGTCAAAAGCTTTCCTTTAGTCGCATACACAGCTGGCATGATACGTATTCAAGTGTTCAGCTACACAAAATTACTCTCTGTCATACAAACGACTTCGGATACACACATTTAGGTCAAAAACAATTTTACTCCAAATTTAATGACTGTTTTCTGATGATAGAATACTTTTAAGTGGTTTTTTTTCTCACAAATGCCTTGTACATGTATCTAAAACTGCTTAAACTGAGCGCAACACTGCTGGTAACAGCATGTACTAAGAAAACACTAAACATTAAATTGACCGGCAAACAATCTAAGACCAGAACGAAAAGGTTAATGGGAAGCAGGGTGTAAAATTTCAATCAAAATAACTAGCTATTACAGCGATTGAGTATTTGACGTTTTGCTCAGTGTCGCTGAGAATCCTAGATTAATTTCATTATATCTACTGGTTTTAGTCATTATTCCTCAAAAGATTCAGGTTTTTATGAAGCAATAGGTGTGTGTACTCCCAACTAGCATCTGACACAGTTTCAGTTTACATGCGTTTGTATGAGGCTCTGAACTTCATCTGTGCTGCAATTATTGACGATACCGCCTGACCTTTCAAAAACGGCTACTTGGGATGTACTGCTGCTGCCAACTCTCTTGTCTTGACAACAGCCCTGTATTTCACTTGGCTCATTTCAACACACTGGTTATGAGTGCCACAACAGATTTTGCTTATTCTTCAAGTTTAAACTTCATTTGTAACCTTTGCCTTCCTTACAAGTTAGCTTCACAAATTGATACATTTGTTTCAGGAATGCAAGACTACAACTACCTACATACTAACTGTTTTGAAATAACTCTGGAACTTGGCTGTGAAAAATTTCCTGATGCCTCTGAATTACCGAGATATTGGAAGGAAAATAAAATGGCTTTACTCAACTATATTGTACAAGTAAGCTACTGTACTGAATATTGATTTATAAAGACTGCCTTGTTTTACTAAGATCTGCATAATATAATGAGATGAAGTTGTTTGAGAGATGTGATTTATTTACTCATTACATTCCAAACAATCTGATAGCATACTTACATGTCAAGGGATTTGTATTGATATGAAGGTGAAAATGTAATGGAGTAGTGTAAATAAATTAGAATAATGTAAAATTTGAAAACTAAGGGAACATATGGAGGAGTGATACATTTTAACAAAAGCCTTGGTACAAAAAAGAGATAAAACTTACCACCGAAGTTTTAAAGTAAGAACGAATTGTTATTCAATAAAGAAAGAGTGTTTAAACGTTCGTATAGCCTAAGCTTCAATAAACGTATATTTACAGTCCTGACAGCCCTTATTTAATGGTCTAGTGTCTATTTGGGGATCACAGGACTGGTCTAAGCTTAAGCTTTACTCCATTCTATTTTCAGTTTTCATATCAATAAAAATGACTTGATAAGAAAGTATATGATAAGATGGTTCGGAATGTATTGAGCAAATAAATCACATTTCTCAGACAAACTCAATTTTCTTATTACATTGGTAAAACCCATCAAAGGATCTGATTGCTTCTTATTTACTACAACCAACTGTCTGCCTTCAGTCAATGTATTCTTTCACCCCACTTTCGTGAATAATAAAATGATATTTAATCCTAACTATTTTTATAAGAATAGAAAATAGACAGTCATCTTAAAATAAAATATATTTTTTGAAGAACATTTCCCTTAATCTCAAACAAGGTTTCCAAATAGGTCAGCCAGAAAATCCCCCATCTTACGGGATACAACGGACTTTAGTATTTGTGGGTGGAGCAAACTTTGACCTAACATATCATTCAAATGTCAATGTGCATACTTTATCAAGCAAGAAAACCTGTTATTTTAACTAGACTATTAAGATTCAAGAATAACTACATGTATTAATTTCCTTAAACCAATTTGTCGAAACATACCTAAAATAGAATGCTTAGGTGACAAATAACTTAGAACATTTTATATTCCATAACTAGGGTTAGAGGACTGGTTTGACTCAGTAATACTGCTTCGTAATACTCTGAAATAACCTTGAGACAACTTTGGAACAGTAAGTGAAAATTAGTAGCACAGAAAGATACCCAAAACGGTATGAGGTGATGCCTAGATAGGGTGTACTCTGTATAATTTTTTTATCAGGTGTATCACAATTATTTACTAGAATAATAGCACTACCTCACACTAGATGTAATAAACAAACTGAAGTAGAATATCAGTTCAAGTGTCTGAGATATACATGGTTTGGCAGACTTGAATTGATCCTGGTTGATGATTGAAGATTAAATGAAAATCTAAGCCTCAGGAGGATTCGAACAAGCGACTAGCAGGCTGTCCGCCTGGTGCTCTACCAAATGAGCTGCAAGACCCGGCTGCTGACCAGATTTTTATTGATTACGACTCTACACTTCCAGTATTCGGTGTGTTGTCACGTAAGCTAAATGTTGTGCGACTAATAATATTGCGTTTATTATTACTTTCAAATGGTGCGCACAATAAGTAACTTTGAGCATAATTTTAGTTACTGTCTTCAGTTTTTGTAATATTTTTAATCTAAAATGCCACTTTAAGCTTAAATGGAAACATGCCGCATACTAGCTGTGATTTCAGGTGGCTGAATATTATGCAGGAGTATAGGAGATTATTTAGGTATTTCATGTATTTGGAACCTTTCTTCGTCTTGATTATAATTGGTGTTTAATATATGCCAGTAAAAATTCAAACCTTCAGAACCAGACATTTTGTGCATAGAAAAGGAGCATTATTTCAGTCGGTAAGTGGCGGTTCGGCGTTAGACAACCGACTGACTACTTAAAGATGTTTTTAGTTTAGACTGAAAAGCCCCACTCATTTTGCTTCAAGTTTCAAGACCCTATTCCTGACCAGATTTTTATTCCACTTCAATCATCACCTGGTAAGGTGGAATATTTCAGTGTGCTTTTTGTAGCAAAAAAAAGTGAGTTTTTTTTAGTTTCATGTTTCACGAAACATTCCTTTTCTGTTTACTATGTGAGTAGAATATTTATATGCGATTGTACAGCTGGAAAATGATGTAGCTGAAAAGAGTGACTCTACGCTATACGTGTTTTGTGTGTGGCTTATTTGGGACTTTTACGCTTACAGAAGACTGTTTAGAGAAGAAAATTTTTTTCAATGACCCATTTTCAGAAGCTGTACAATTAAATTTAGTTACGATATAGATATATATATATATATATATTACCAGGGGTTCTGCTCTTTTTAGGTGGTCAGTCTCCACTCCTTTCAAAATGTTTAGTTTGACTTTACAAATGACTTGTGAAGGAAGACTGTGGTGGAGAACAGTAATGCTAAGGAGCGAAACTGCAGCCTCCTTTAGATAGTGTTCAGAGATGCGTTTGTATAGAAGACGCTTCGTGTGGCTTATGTAACCAGCTGCCCCATAGCAGGTTAACGGGTGAATTGTCGTTGTTAGTTCTTAGTTCCCCACCATCAACGAATCAAATGTAAGATGAACGCCCTACTTAAAGAAATTAGGCAAAACAGAACTCATCATTAACAATCAAAGAGAACAATCTTAGAATTATGCAACCTGTAACAAAGCAAATTTTACTCCAGCATCCTTGTTACCTGATACATTCTGACCCAGTATTCATCAGATTTTTGTTATCCCATACTGCAATTCCATATTCATTTTCTGTTTTATGTCTAATCAATTATTTACTATGCACGTGCATCTGCTCCTGTTTCGTTAAGCTTTGCCTACCTTTGTAAAATAAGTTGTGCGAGTTTTTTTAGTTCGAATTTAATTAAAACAGGTATCACGTTTCTATTTTATATACACTTTGAAAAAGTAGGGACTGATGCAACAATTGTAAATAAAATATATCTGAATCTTTCTGTTCGTTTGGAGGTAGTATTTGCGCTTCCTGTAACAGGTTAATATATTTGTTGGATTAAAAACTGTGTCTACCCTGTGGATATACCTTTTATATAAGTTTTAATAAAGTACCACCAAAGCTTATAGCAAATCCTTATTAACTCTTCGCGTATATACCAACCTAAACAACTTCCTAACGTATTGCTGTGTATTATTTCGGGATTCTCTAAAATACTCTGGTTTTTCCAGCAAAGCTTATGGCTAAAGGACACATTACATTAAGAAATTGTTTTGCTGAATAAATAAAGAATATTTAAAAGTACGTTACTGGTAACCATGTGGGCAGAAACCATTGGAATTGCCTTCAAAGCCTCGTGTAAGTTATCTTGTGCACTTGTCATTCATGTGAAAAGGTGATTTGTGATAAACAAGTTACTTACCGCTCAATGATAGTTAATACTGTGCGCACTCCGCAAACTCCAAGTGGCCCATTATCTCGAAAGATTTTAAAGGTCATTGGAAATCGTAGATAAACGTAGTGAACAATCATTATGATTTCAGAGCGTTTTATAGAATCAAACTGTCTTCTTCTAATAATTAATTTTGAGAAACCTGTAGGTGAAGGTATATAATAGAGACAGTATCTTAATCTTGGCCGTATTTGCATCTTGCTATCAATAATACCGATTTAAAATCATAGATTGCTGATTTTTTTTATAGGCAATGAATGACGCCTATTTTAGAGTGGCTGATGATACTACGTAGATGCCCGAACCTCAGTCGTTGAGAAGGGATTCAGACTTACAGCCTGTTGTCTTAAAGTCAAGTGCCTAGACCAATGAGCCACAGCTCCGACAAGGCGTTAGCATTTTTCTGAACTTTACTAGGTGTTCCTAGGACCACTGACAAAACTCTACCTCTCTTGAGTCGATTGTTCTATAAACATTATGGACATGTAAACTATTGTTCACAAAAACATTTTCTAATTTATTGGCTTATCGTTTGTCAAAGTGAATTAATATAAAACAGCTATTGTTCTACAAGACATTTTGTTGCATGAAGTGTAAATACGAATAAAACAACAAAGCTGTTTATTGAATTTGGTGTTATGCTATTACATTTCACAAAGCTACAGATATTTGGAGATGAAATTCATCCTTTTTAAGTTGATCTACGGAAAGTAAAATATTTGCCATGTACAATAATTAGTGGGAAGTGATTGTGCTATCTTTTAGATATATGAGCGGTTCTGTGTAATCCGATGTCCTCTAAATTCATAAACATTAAAAAGTTCAGTAGCTATTAGTGATTTCATTTCCTTGAATTCTTTGTTGATATAACTGTTCAAACTTCGCTTTTTGGAAGTAAGTAAACTATTAGGCACTAGGAGAAGCTAGAAACAACCGAATTTATTAGGAAATACCGTAACGTTTCGGCAAACTTACCGCGCATTCATTGATATTACGTAAAATACTTGAAAAGCCACTTATCTGTTTTAAGATATCTTTTATAGCATTATTCGTGAGACAGTTTTTTGTGTTACTAAACAGATTATTTGTAGTTACCTTGATGAGTGATTTCGTCACTGCAATTAAGACGGCTGTAAATATTATTTATTCATAGGCTGATGTCGTTGACTGCCATTAAGTTTGTCTATGACGGATCGTCTCTCTGACCTTGGTTGGCAAACGTTGATTGGTAGAACGGAGAACCATCTAGCGTCATAGAGAGTCTCATTACATCAGTGTTTTTCAATTTCATAAGAAGTCTAAAAGTGGAATAGGCAACCTATTTTCAGTTCATTTGCCGCAATAAGGTTAAAGAAAACTTGTCTCGAGATTTTCCGAGGTGATTGATAAGTTTGATTGCCCACAACCCTCTCAGTATAAAGGTGGAGTGTTCATTGATAAATTCATCACTCAATAATTTTGTTTGTATTTATTGCCCACGTGTCACGCCATGGTTTTCCCTTCTTTTGCGTCATCTAAACGTCTCTCATGAGAAAATTACTGTGGTTTTAAGAGACTTTTGCTATTTTTAGCAACTCAAGGCAAAACATTTCACAGTCGCCTTAAAATGACTGGGATTTTTGTCCTACTCACCACTATTGTTGTCAGGAAGTTACATCAAGTATACGTGAAAAAACAGAAATTTTAAAATAAAACGAAAAAATGAATGCTTATGGCCATAGTTTACTTGATGGTGACAAGTAGTGGAATCCAGAACGGTCGTTTCGTCCTGTTTGAGACTCATCGGTTTCATCCAGTTGAGTTGATGATGGATGCATGATTTTCAGTCATGCTGTTCTCGGTCAATAATTCGTTTTACGGCTTATCCATGAAAGTCATCTTAGAAAGCAGCAGGCTAAACTGGATGAGCAAATCCTAATGGATTAGGATGAACCTTTATTACACCAGTATTATTCAAGAAGGTCCTACTTAAGATTGATAGAAGCAAATTGTATTTGTAATATAGTTAGGGCTAACGATAATGCAGTCATATGCTCTTCGGTGTCATATATATACTTGAAAACTGTAGTCATCTTATTAAAAGAAAACAAGGAATCAAACAAAGGTTCATGAATAACAAAACAAAAAAGCAGTATAGGAGGAAGAGATATACTCTGTATTCTTACTACTAAAAAAATGAAGCTATTAAACTTAGTGTAAACAAAAGGTACGTAACATAAGCCATATGAATACACAGAAAGAAATTTAGTTGTCAAAATTTTTTACTTTCTTTCTGATCATCTTTCATTTGTTGTAGAGTTCTAGGCTATGGTTTATTTGAGAGTAAAGTATTCCTTTGAGAATTCTAAAACGTATGAAATACACGTATGGTCTGTAATTTGTCATATGTTACTTTGCTGTTAGAATAAAATAAAGTGGTTGAAAGGTTTCTCTGCTAGTAGACTTATCACACCAAAAATTTTCAGTAAGCAACTGGTAGGTAATGAATGTAATTTTCCTTCCGTTGTTGTGCAGCTTAAGTTTGACAAACTGTTGTAAATTTCTGTCTTTTATTTACTGAATAACAAACGAGGGTGCTTAAAACTCCAAATAAATGTTCCAATCTTCTGAAATGTTTACAGTATGCTATTCATAGTCTTTTGAACAATTATATTTCTCATGTTGAACAAATATTCTGTTGATAGTTGTGATTCATGCAATTCACTTATTGTTAATCAATTGGGAATTAATTTGTCGTTTAAAGGAGGAATCAAAATAAATTTCAATGGCCAATTTTTATCATAATGCTAACTACAGTTATGAAGTATTTCCTGCTCATGTACGACAAAAATCTGAATAAGAATGATAGATAAAAATCATACTTTTACTTGGGTTTGATTGATTCTCATTACTTTTCATAGTTCTTAAGAACGGTAATAGTAATTGATAGTTTGGTCCAAAACCTTCCTTTTTTGATATAAAGGGTCAATCCCATTAATCCAGTTGAATTATAGTCAATTGAGTACACAAATGTCAATACCCAGGGAACAAATTGAAGACTGTGTACAAAATGTATGCACCACATTAACTCAATATTTACACGATGAGAAATTTGTGGAAATTATATTTAACGATATTGGAAAATTACGTATAAAGAAAAGAAAATCAAAGTTCTGTTTTTTCAATAATTTCCTGAGTGAACTTGATAGTAGTGGAAAGTTAGCTCAAACATTTTACAATGTGAGTCTTATATGTAGCTAATTCATTTGGTAAAAATGTTTTCGAACTAGTTATCACAAAGTTTCTAAATTATCAGTGTATATAAAGAAGTAGGTTTTCATCACATGGAAATTTTCAGGACATCAAATAGGTTTATTGAGTAATCAAAAACAAAATGGCTGGATCTTGCTTGTGTTTTATGAGAATCGATATTCATATCCATCCATCTATTTCATCGCTGATAACTATAGATCCTGAAGAAGACCGAAGATAAGTAAACAGTACAGCTTATATTCTCAGTGATTTATTTTCTACTTCTACCATATTTGCTATCTTTGTGACCTTGGTAAAGTAACTGAGCATTAGATAAATTTTCCGTCAGCTTCTTATTTAAGGTTTAAATATAGTAACTTTGACGAAAAATGAGCTGGAAATCCTAAATAGACGAAAGTTCATTCTACAAATACTGCTTGTAGAAAAAACTCTAGGATCTTATGGCAGTATAAATCTACCAGACACATAGACAAATCTACATAAAATCACTCATAGTAATGCATCAGTTCAAGTTATCAAAGCACTAGACAGAAAAAGAGTGGTATCAAAGTAGATAAAGTGTTTGAAAGGGGGGGAGTGGATAAACGATGATGAAAATGTTTAAATTTTCGAAATTGATAAACAGTGTATACATTTGCTGTAATAAGATTGATTTCACGACATGCTGTTGAAATTATTCAACCATTAATTCCTACCGTCTAGAGGACTTTATTCAGACAGTCTAGACCCATTCACATGGCTACAATCCACAGTCAAATACTTTTTCGACTGATGTTAAGTCTTATTTTGCCAGTACTAACTTTTGTTCAGACTAATCCCACTTCGACTAGCATCTCATGTGTTAGTGATCGGTGGCTTTTCGCGTGTAAAGCGTGTTCCACATGTATCATTTGAATGATGTTCACAACCAGACTCATTGATCTGGCTTCTTCGCCTGATACTCTGCATCTGTCCTCAGTATTGCTCCACTACACGCCAGCAATGGTATAGGGATACTTTTTGTGAAAACCCGTAGCTTCCCGATATGTCTCACAACCTTATGGTAGGATACAGTGGGTTTCTAAGTAGTTTATTTGTATTTTGATGGGTGTATAGATGTATAGCCAGCATCACAAGCATATTTGTTCATATTATGGTAAACGAATAATTAAAGCATGGTAAATAACAGGTACTGAACTTTCCTCATCAGTGACATATTTCAACAATAAATGAATTGCGTAATGTAGGTCAATAGCCTTAACATACCAAGTGATATCTGTGTTGCTTTGGTAAATATAATTTTTTTGTATATTTAGTTATCATAGGTCTCGTCAAACTAGTGCTACAAACGTTTTGAGGGGTCAAGGACACATTTATAAAATCCTCCCTGTACATGAATCACTGCATCTTCATATTATCAAAACCCCGGTTTGGTGCTTTGATTAGTGACCGCAACGTCCTCTGATATATAGTGTGCATTGTTATTTTATCTCCATCTCTAAGGTGGTTAAAATCAGTAAGCTTTCAAAAGTATTTTATTCATATGTACAGTTCGAACTCATAACTTTTATTCATTTCAAAAAGTTTCAACACATCTTTTCCCATAAAAAGGTCATGCAATTATTATCCTACATTAAATTATAAATTAAAATTATCTGTTTCGTTCAACACCTTAAGTTTACATAATTTCGTGCTACCCTTATAAGTTTACAATCATAAATTCAGAATAGGATTGGCTTAGTGTTCTGTAAGGACTACATTCACTTGACTGCATAGAGTGAGTTTATGGTCTTTTTATCAGTTACAGTTGGCGTCTACAAATTGCATCAATATTATATCATAAGTGTTACTATACACTGACTGAATAGAACAACAAACTGATCGTGATTATCTTTCCACACATTTCGAATTTTCAAAAGCTAAATATGCATACATTTAGTTTTTTTCAGTGGCCTTTGAAGTCACTTATAAATGCGTATTACTATTGCTTATGGCGGTATAATAATATCTAAAGTCCCAGCTTATATGCTGAAAATCGATGTTAACGAAAGACATCGAAATGAATATAATGGTTCATGATATCACCGGGGATCAGTTGTCGTGAAATCACTAGTGGCAGTTAGGTAACTCCTTATCTGGATAATGTTTGCGCCCATCCTCTGATATCGTTCCCCCATTTTCATCTTTAAATATTATGATTTATGTACTATTTTAGATGAGAAATGCATCACACAGCCTAAGTTAACTTATTTGTATTGCATTTTGATCGCTGAATATACAACTGTAGGTTATCACAGTTTACCTTAGGGTTTGTTAGCTTTAGGCACACATGTGAATGCACGTTTGCTCGTCGATGATTGTCTTACTGAACAATCTTTACGTATAACTTCAGCGCCCAGAATCATCTGACTGCATAACAACGGATCGATCTGAAATTAGTGTTGGAAGCAATAAGTCTATAAAGTCCATGGAAAAGTAAGTTTATGGTAGTTCAGTTAAATCCTTTATTATACAGTGCAACTTATCTTATAATTTTATGGTTATTCAGAGATCCCCGCACTGTTGGGGTATAATCAGTCATCACGAAGGCATCTGAAAAGTTAAGTTGGTACAACTTTTTTCCAGGGTAATTTTGATGTGGAAGCATTTATTTTGTGTGCAGCCCAGTGGTTGAATGCTGTTAGTGCTACGTTATTAACTGAAGAGATGTAGTTTTTTTGGCGGCTGACTAATTGCAGAACTTGATCTTGTGGGATTGATTTCGATGTTGATGCAACAAATATGGTCTTTTTTCTCTCAAGACAAAACGCTATTTCGAGCCAGGTATTTAAACTTTAATTACACTTCAAGACAAAATGTGTTTGGTAAACGGTTCACCAAGTAATTTCAAGTATTAGCTGTCATCAAACTTACGTTTGTGTCTAACTTGTCAACTATCTAGTCGACAAGTCCATCGCTTAAATTGAGAATTTATCACACAGTATTTCAGTTTTTTAAAGAGGAAAACTAAACGAGAGATCACTATCATTGTTACAGCTGAATGTTTCCTAAAACTAATCTTACTATTATAGGCTACCAGATTTTTGTAAATCTTAAAACTCAAGAATAGGTGTTTGACAGACTGTTCGCCACTTAATATTATTGAGAAGAACAAACTAATAAAAGTAATATTTTCGATGCACAGTTTTGTTATTCATTCTTCGAGTTAGCTAAACTGCTGAGAAATTCAAAACACAACTTTAACTTTATTTTTCAGTTCTTTGGTCATAGTTGAAACAAAATTACAAGAAATGTACGCAAGTTCATTAGAATACATTAGAAGGCATTAAACCCCTTTACTGCAATATCCACGACACTGATTAATGACTAAAATTTCAAAGTAGCATAAAATAGCAAGCAAACCAAAAAGGATTGGTCAGTACGCACCATTATAACGCTTCTGCGCAAATAATACATAGACTTTATGATAAAGCTCCCTTAATATCATTTGTGTAATGTAATTTACGATCTTTATTAAAACGTAGTTATTATTCCTTGGCTCTGTTTGTCAATCAGATCAGTATTTACGTGTTTTTTATTTGATTAAAAAAAAGATTAGCTACAATAGATGAAAATGAACTGTATTCTTCTTCCATGCCTCCTTTAAATGAAAGAAAACATCAATCAGGAAGACAAGGTATGTATCAATCACTCAGTGTTGCAATTCATCTTCATGGCATGTTTCTTCATAACTCATTTGGAAGTTATACTGTATTAGATAGATGTTAGATAATTATGATACTGTTTACGTTTATCGTGCACAAATTGTCGAACACTCAAGTACACTACTGAATAGGAACTTTTTAATAACTTATCGTATATAGCCGTCAGACGTTTAAATAGTGGTGTTTAGGTCATAATGTAATTTGATTGCCTTATAAACTGAAAGATATCAAATGAAGTTTTTAAATTACTGAAGATATATATATATATATATATATATATATATATATATATATGACATATTTGCATGTATTCGCTCATTGATAATGTTTCTAAAAAGCGTCTATTTTATGATAAATATAATAAACGACATTCCATTACATTTTTTATCATGACAGTTTATTTATGTATCTACGCGTCACTGCCTAATGGATACACTTGAAAGAGTATAGTCAATAAGCAAACAGGTGGGATATATTTAGGTTTATTTTGCGAACAATAGCTCAACTTACTAAAAATAGGTAACGAGGTGAAATTTTGAATAGCATAAAGACTATCTTTGTTTTTATCATCAAAAGAAACACATTTTAGGAAGAGAAGAAACTTTAGATTAAATGAACATTTCATTTATTTCAGTTGAATCTCTGCTGTGAACTGCATTACTTTAAGGATAATAGTTTACTAGATGCTGTGTGCATAAATAACTCATGAGTTATTAGGACACTGTAGCTGCCTATAGACGACAGGCTAAAGATACCTTACTTAAGGTCACCGAAACAATATAAAATTTACACGAAAACTAACTATCAAAAAATAAATTATCGTCATTGCTAAGTACTTTTATACACTGGACGGCTATTCAAAACATTTCAACAAATTATTTGAAGACATTCAAACTTTTATCTCACATCCTTCGCTTTAAACCCTGTTATCCTAACCATGCTAGTTTATTTGAGAAAAATTTCTGAGTGTACAAGAAATAAGAATGAAGGATTATAGTGTATTGTAGATGTTCTCACGAGTAAATAGTCCCTGAAATGCTTGGTTTGAAACTGCACTCGACATCAATATTTTGATTTCAGTAAATACAAACATTCTAACTTTATTCTTTGAAAGTTTTCAGGTCACAATAATCAGGTCACTTCTCTCTAGTTTATTGAACGTTTTTGCACAGAGCTGTCCTGAAAATTGTGATGACTGATCATACTCAATGAAAGTCATTTTACTTTTATTATTCATAGTGTACCTATATCACAAGCCCAAATGCTTTGCTTTAAATCATCGTTGAAAGAGAGTCAGCCAGTAGAAGCAATTGAATAAGTGTAAAAATGAAGAACGACAGAATTCCAATCATAGCATTCCTTTTTACACGACAATGGACAAGTTTGGATGTGATAATGTCAACATTTGAAAGGTGATTCAAGAGGACTTTCTGTTGTTTGCAGAGTGATTGAATCGAATATGATGACAGACATTAAAATGACTCAAATAGAAGGATATTTTATTATAGAGTGAATGAAGATCAAGTTTCCCACATGTAATAAAAGTTGTTGTGCGTTTTACACACCTCGTTGTGTGCACAGTGTATCTGATCTCATCTGTGTTGGCAGATGATAGTCAGGTATGTCCGCAAATAAAGTTTGCCGATGCTTCTTACTGCTGGGAAGGAATTTTGGTAAATTCATTCAAGACCTTAAGCTCACCAGGTACACTATTGGGTGTTGAGGAATAAGTCGGTTACTGAAAACGTTTGTAGTTTCTATAGATTTATCGCCTACACAAAATCAAGAAGTAACTGATATGGAGATTGATAGAATGAAGGCTTATTATTTTATGGTTTCTTACACTGATTTGTCCTAAGAATGGTACCCGACGGTTAGGCATAAAACTGCTGGAAAATATAGGTGGACCTTAAGAATCAGAGATTTCAAAGCAGGTGAAGAGGAGATAAACACTTTTTGAAGCCCTTTTGGAGTTCATCAGCTCGAATTACAACGCGATTAACTTTCCCCTTATCATGTTTCACCTTATTGTCTACCAGACAACAATCTTACACACCACATCTGAATAGAAGAAATTTAACATACTTTACATTTCTGACAGAATTGTAAAGTACTGTTAAGAATGTTTGGATATTCTACACGTAAAACAATCAGCTGATTTCTTCTTTCTTATAACAGTGAGTGAGAGGGATAAAATATATGTCTCTCACTTGAACAGTGAAAGTTACCAGCTACCAAATAAAAGTTACTGTACAGTTTCTTAAGAGGTATTTTAAGAATGACTTTGAGATAACCAATTTCATTCGCGTGTTATTTCTAGCTGAACGTTACAGGTAACATCGTTCTGTTCATATTAAGTTCTAAAACAGGGAACCAACGTCAGCTTTACTCACTTTTTATTGCCACTGCAAAGGTACAGCACTTCTTCACTTCAAAAATCTAATCTGTATAGAAAGCTGGTTGTAGTTATTCGCTGAAATACCTTTACGATTTTCTTATGTTTACTGCAATAAAAATATGGACATTTTGTCGTACAAAATGTGATAACGAAATATCCCTAGTAAAACCAAAAGTTGATATCAGTTATCTTGATCTTATACTGACGAATAGTAACCAGTGTTAACACAACTACACATCTCATAAACTATTCTTTCAAATTCACCTGTTGAATGACCAACCAAAGTCATGACTTTATTCAGAGTGTGTAGTCACCGAAAAATGATTAGAGATTTACGACTCTTGAAGCAACAAAGTCGCAGAGCAAAGTAAAATGTAGTCAGGTAATGCAATAACACTTTTTTGATTCAAGTGTAGTTAAGGTGCCTTTCATTTGTCTATTTTCAAACCATTGACCTTGAAAAAACATACTTTCTCCATGATATGGAAGTTCAGTTTAACATTTTTAAATCAGCCTCAGGTTGAGTCGGTTAGTAACTTCAAGCTAGTAGAGAACAGTTCAATAATTCAACCTAGTTTCTAGTGGTTCGTTAACTATTTTAGATAAACTAAACTCAGAACACGAGTTGTTTGCCACCATCTGTCCAATTAAGCGGCATTAGATAGTCAGTTATAGAATTATAACCAAGCTTCAGTCTCCAAATTGACATTTTTTAAAGCTGAGTAGTTTCTCAATCGTCCTACTTTTGTACCCAAAAAGTATTCATTACAAACCAGCCAACACCAAATGGCGTGACCTCTGACACAATATAGTAGTAACTAATGAGTATCCTGCTGGACAAAATTAGTTCTCAGAAATCTGTCATACTGATTATCACTGTTTAAATTAGTCCAATCCTGCTTGCAAAATCTGCGGGTCAGCAGACTAAACATGTTATTCGGCTATAAATAGGAATGACAAGTATTATTTATTTACTTTGCAACAACTTTCGTAAGACCGTCTTTTTAAAATGTGATTTTTTCATTATCTGGGTAACAGATGATCAAATAAGGATAAGAAGTAAATCTTCAGGAAAAGATGACCTTCAACCACTTGAAAATGAAAATGATTCCTTGGCGTCTTGTATTTGTACCAGTCGAATAAACCAAAATAATCATGTATGTGTAGTTTAAGTAAGCCTTTTTCAAAATCTTTAGTGGATTAAGGATTTTCCTCGTAAAGTAAGTGAGACGTTGGCAAAGGTGGCTGACTAAGAGCGATTCAACCTGAGATTATAGTAGTCACTGCTTAGCATTTACAGGCAACATATAACTGACACTGTTTTAAATAGGTATGAAATGAAGTGGGTTTAGGATAAGAGCGGTCCACTGTATTTCGGTTGTACTTTATCAACTTCTCACGACCTAGAATATGGAAATACATAATTTTACTGGAAATTCACCATAATTTAATTCGCTGAAGGAAAATGGAATGTTTATAAAAGGTTAAAGCGTCGTGGTAAATCATAGTGACAAATTCAAGTAAAGTTGATAAATGGTAACAGATTGTCGAAATCATATACACATTTCATTCGAAGTTTTTGAATGAAAATAACGACAGAAGTAGCAACCAAAATACTGAGAGACTTAACATGATCAGATTATGGGAGTAAGTCAAACGACAAATAAGTTACTAAACCAAACATTTAAAATATTGTGAGCTAAGCTGAGTTGACTGAAAATAGTCTATATGAACAAAAGCTGATGGAACTGAATCAGATTGAAGGAATTAACATCTAACTTTGATAAAGAATATTATTAACTAATAGTCAAGAGAGGGTACCAAGATGGACATGAGTTGAACATGGCTGCTTTTAAAAACAAAAATCAGGTTTGAGGCATTTGCCAACTATAGCTTCAGCAAACCTCAGCAGAATTTAGCTTGTTTTTTTATCTTGAAGAAATTGATGTCCAGTATCAATCCTCTAGTTGTGGGCACTAGGGATTGTATGTGCCTTGGGAGCTGCGCTTTTATTAATATCGTCAAGGTACCTAGTGTAAAATATCATTTCACTGAGCGCATACTTAAGTTTTGTATTCCCTGGATTGGCTGTGAAGTTGAATGTCAATTTAGATCTATTGCGTTTCTCATAGCTACCCCATCAATCTGACGACAAAGTTCTTAGTTAAACGGGAACTGGTGATCTTTAGTGTATGTCCGAACTCTGTTGATAGCATGGGGAGAGTATCGATATGCTGGCATATGGTATTTATGGTTTTCTGAAGAGGTATGTCTATAAATAAAGAAGCTACATCGATCGACATTATGAACTTCTTAGGACTATCAATATGATTCAAGTTTTTGAAAACTGAAAGGAATTCTTAAGGATGTATTCAGCCAACTTTCGACGGACTGTTTTCAAATTTCTGTCAAACAACGGTTCACTTTGGGATGAGATGAAATGCATTATTCACTGTGGTTTTTCTTAAGGCCAATATGCTTTATAGTAGCCAGACAAAAAGTATGTGAAAGTTAAATGTAGCAGGTATTATACCTGCGCAGTTGTTGATTCATTCAATGTTGACTGATAGTTTGTAAATTTCCTAAAATGTAAGATTTTTAGAAATTGGGGTTCTATGTGTATAAGTAATGGAACATTGAGATACAGTAATTTTTATGAAGCATACCAATTATAGGAATCATTCCTGTGCCAACTTACCAAGTTTTTTTCCTCAGGTTCTCCCAATTCAGAAAGTCAAGGAACCTGAAATTCCACCTAAATCACCCGAAGAATTAACTTCGGAAAATATACTAAACACGGATCATCAGAATCTCAATCCACCTGAAAGTGTTGTTCCTTGCAATGAAACGATAGATAATGGTTTCATTAAGCCGGATTTGCCGAGACTTGGCGTGACTGACTTTGATCTGTGCACTAAGGAAGACTCGAGATACACTAGTCATTGTTCTGCATCAAGCTTCAGTTCCAAACTTTCCAACTGTTCAAAATCTTCACTTTCTAGCGTGCGTTCAGTGAAGAGCAATATTGAAGAATTAGAAAAACGAATACCAAAAATTGATGAAAACTGCAGTCATACCATAAACAAAAACTATGGACTTTGCTATTTATGTCACCAAAGGCGCATACGAAATACACCAGTGGATTTAAAAGATGAAGTAAGACAGAGAGAACAAGCTGAAGAAGAACTATTACGAATGTATCAAGAGATGAGAGCAAATAACGAAGCCAAACAGGAACAAGTAAACTACTTTATTGATTTATTTTACTTTTAAAATTCTGCGAAAAATTTCACTGAATTATAAACTAAGTGATGAGATCTATACCAGAAACTGAAAGATATATCTGTACATGTTATAAAGGTATATATGTGACGTTGAAGATAAGGATTGGTTAACTGTTATTTAGTAAAGTTTAAATGCAGGTTTACATAACTAGCCTTGCATGGAGTGCACTGATTACGGCATGAAAGGATCGACACGAGATGAAATGAAAATAAAATTTATGACTGTAGCAAAAAAACATTTTTACAGACGGGAACTACAAATACTTCTTTTTATTGCTTCACTGGCATCTATATAAGCTTGTCCTTGAAATGTACATCAAACAACAGGTTATTATAACTTTACTCACCTATAAGGATAGTGCGGAACATGGACTACTTTCTACACCGTACATCAACCTGTTTAACTTTAGCAGAAATACTTAGTTCATATAGATGGAATTAGCATAGCACTTCAACTTGCTTTCACCACAGAATCTAAGAACGGTATTTTGACGGCGACCATGTACAACCTACCTGGCTTGAAACTCCATAGTAAATTATTCCAGTGTTTCCTTCAGATGTTTATCAATGACGGGCTGTCAAATTCACTATTTTAAGGCATCTGAGATCGCTTCTTGATTTTTGTCATCTTTAATTATTGCAAATAATGATTCATAGTAACCGTTCTTCTATGGATAGAGCCCATATGCTAATAGAGACCAATCAATTCGTTCCAATCAACTACGGTATCTTATATAAAAACCCTTGTACGGAAAACTATACCCGTCGCACAAGTGGCTATCGTGGTTCGGTGGTGAAGTGGAGAACGCGCTGGCGTCTAAAGCGATCACTCCCGAGTCCGAATCCCGGTGGGAACAACATCACTCACTGGGGAGCGGGAACATCCAGCTGACGAGTCCCAAATAGGACGAAATGGGCATCCTGGATTCCACTGCTAGCCACGATCCATCTTTAACATTGTGCCAACGGGATTTTTGGTTTACCCTTAGATTGAAATTGCATTATAACGACAGAGACTTAGCTACCAATTAGCATCACTAACTAAGAGATAGTTGGTATACCTCACAGTGTAAAGCATGAACCTATGATTGTTAACTGAGTTTAAGTACTAGTGTTTACTTTTCACTACTGAGATAAAAGATCAGCCAGCCTAACAAATAATAAAACTTTCCGGAAACGTCTGCACATGGAATTGAGACTGAATAACTTATGGTGATTAAAGGCTTCATAAATGCCATTGTCTTCTGTTGCTTGTGTACTACCTCATCATATCAGGGCCTTTTGAAATTTTTTTGAACTTCATGTTTATCAAAGTCGGTATTCCTATGTAAGAGAAATTTCATGCCTTCATTTGCTTTATGATTTCAGTGTGATTTAAAACAGAAGATGTAACATGATAATGCTTTTTAACTAGGATTAACACATGGAGAACACATTATTTTTTTGACAAGATTTACGATTTTTGAATATCAAATTATACATGACAAGTGTCCACATGTGCTTCCATCATATTTCGGGTTTGGTAATAACCGAGAAAGCTAGTAGTAAACATGCATGATATAATCGAAAATATTGAAACCCAAAATAAATTTTAGAGATGCTTAAACCAGCCTGCTTTTCAACTCAATAACTAAAAGAATTTATTAAAGAGATGAAAAAAACCTGAGGAGATACTAGGTACAGGGGGCTTTGAAGAAAGGAAGATGCTTTCAGGGTTTCTCTGGGAACACTGGTAGTTCAACAGAATTTTACCACAATCGAAAGTAATTCCATTTGAGTTGCTTCATTATATGTACACACAGTAGAACAGTATTATTTACTGGATTAGATTTCAGACACAATTTACTGTCGATAGTCATATCAAGATAACTACATAACTTCGTAACATGCTTTATATAGTTCTAATCATTTCGCCTTGTGATATGCGTAGTAAGATTTTCCGTATATCCGGAACAGGTGCAGAGTCATTCCTGTTGCATGTATCAGGTGTTGATTCCATAAACAAAGATTCAGTTACCAATCTCTTCCTCCACCCCGCTATCTTAGTTATAAGGATTTTCACCTTATCACATCCTATTTTGTGGTTTCTGAGTAATTGCATTCATAGCTGTGGCGGAGGTTTACTCAAAACTCTTTATCTTACTAAGATCTACCAATTTTGACCTAAGAGTACGATTTTGCTTGACTTTAGCAGCTTCTAAGTTTCAAAGTAAAATATATAAACAAACTGAAATGGGTTACCATGATACCACCAGTGTCTTATCGTTACAGACACATTTATGGATATTCAGGAACAGATGATACTTCAAACGTTTAGTCCTACTACAAAGATATGGTTCCTATACGCAGATGACACATTTACAGTATTGAAATCGGAACACATCAATAGGTTCTTTACACATATAAATTCAGTAGTCAGCGCAATCCACCTCACCTATAATTTAGAAAATAGTTAAGAGGAGTTAGCAACGTTGGATTGCAGAGTAATATGAAAACAAGATGGGAGTTTATAAACTAGTGTCTATAGGAGACCTTTCCAATTGGATCGTTACTTAGACTACAAATAATCTCACTTTATGCCAGTTAAAGTCAGCTTGGGCCAGAAAACTTGCTAGTAAGACAGAAGATCTAAGACAAGAAACCAGATACATTAAGAACACCTTACTGATAAATAACTATCCTCCTAAATTAATTCATAAGTTGTTTAGGAATCACAAGAAATATATGACTAATATTAGTAACACAGGTGTTAAGAATTGTAATAATAGTGTAGATAATAATAGTGGCAATACTGTGAAGAGAGAGTTCAAAACCTCTACGGTATTAACATCAAATAAAGACACTCCAGAGATATTACGTAGGATCCTCAATAAGGCTCGGATTAGAGTGGCATTTAAACCTACAAACTCAGAAATGAGCTTTGAATAAGGGAATACAAAAACCTAGCTAAATCAGGATTAGCAGATTCGAATAAGATAAAAATCTAGCAAAAAGCTGTGCTATAGCAATGCACTCAGTTGCATACAACCAGTATTAAAACTTACTTGGTTGGAGAAATAGATTGATAAACGAATCTTTATCTACCGAATCAACACCAAATATATGTAATAAAATGACTCTGCACCCGTCCCAAATATATAGAAAAAGCTACAACTCTTATCAATAAAAAGAAGATTAAAACTGTATAAACTGTCTTCAAAGTTGTGGAGTTACCTGATGTGAATATGGACGTTAAATTATGTCCGAAACGTTATTACCGTGTGATATTTTTAATAAACAGACTAAAATGAAATTTCAATCTACTACAGTGCCCAAGTTTTACTCCTATGTATCAATTTTGACCAAGCCAGGTTTTTATCTTCGAATAGCCTATTTGACCCTGGTCGAATACTTTGACCTTCAATCATCGCGAAAGATTTGGTTAACTAAACTATTTGCCTAATCAGATCAATAGGATCTTTTACCTACGACTACAATCCAGCTACCTGCCACCATCTCAACTCAAACATTGTTGAATACTTTAATATGATAAGATTTAGGTGTTTTACTTGAGATGTTATATGGTTTTTCATATTACTTTGCGATTCGTTCCAGGAGGATCTATTAAACAGACGTAATGAGTTATGCAAACAAGCAGCCTATAATCTGGGTGTTGCCTGTTCTAGACGGATGAAAAAGTCTTACGTTGACTCAACAAACTATCAGACATTTATTATGAGTAATAGACCTCCCACACCGCTTCGTCAAATTAAGCAGAATGCACTGAAGTGAGTCAAAATTTAAATGAGCTAGTTTTTGTTTCCCTTTTTCCATTTATATTCTGAAACTGGTATGATTATTTAATTTGTACATTTAATGAATCAGTTTTACTCATTACTACCGAGTAATGATTAGTAAACTGGGAACATATGTCATCTTCAACAAGCCTAAAAGCATAATAGAAATGAATCACCGGTGACAAAACAATAAAAAAGAAAAATCTTCGCTTAACGCTTTATTTGCAGAAGCTAATATTTAAAAATCCACTCGGGAATTTTTAATGCAGTTACCCAAATAACAGTTTAACAAGTATTCAACATTGTATTAGACAATATGAACAGCCTCGCATTCATGAGTACTGGATGTTTTGAAACTAAATATCCAAATGACTCCACTTCTCTACTCAGCAAAATGTAATATTGTTCCCTTAGAGTGGATGATTATCTATCCAATTTTTAACGTACTTGCTAAGAAACTTTACTCTACCAACCCTTACTATTTTGCATCATCATCTGACTTTGGTAAAGTTAGGATTACAATCAAGTATATCTGTTTATAAAATAAATATTTTTTTACACAAAATATATGTAAATATTTCCGCCTTAAAATGATTTGTTCGAACTTTAAATAAATATAGTACTAGATAGTGAGTAAAAGTATACCTAAAATATATTTAAATTTCTACATTGTTATCGATAGTTATCTGCTTTAATGAATTCCTACATTTTGTTACACATCGGAAACGTGTTCACGATATACAGGACCATATAGATTTGTTCTTTATCATATCCAGTTAATTCCTGACAGAAGCACGATAAACGGCAGTGACTTTTTTAACGAAAAGGTGGGCTGTTATCATTTTTATAAAATATTAGTACCCTGCAATTTTGAACTACTGTATTTCTATATAGAACATAAAAGTTCGCATGTAATTTGATATTAATCTCATTTTATAAACATATCTCTTTAAAGAGAATATTATAGTTGTCAGTATTGCTAGCAAGCATGATGTTGCAGTAAAAAGGTCAGTCGATCACACCTAGAAAGAAAAGGAGTCACGAACAGCATATTCCATAAGACGGATTTTGTTGAGGATCTTTGATTAAATGAAACGAAATACATCCTATCATATATAGATGTATTGGGATAATAGAACTTATACTGACTTCGTTAATTATCAACGATCAACTCTAAGAGTGAGTGAGATAATAGTTTTCGAAACATATATTTAAGAGACATCAAAATATTTGTAGAGAAGATCGGCAGCATAGGTAAAAACTATACATTTCTAAAGAACAAACTGTACCTTACCGCCGAAATTATTTGATTTTAGAGTGAAATGGTTTTAAAACAAACAGATCAATTTAGTAATCCTCGATATTTTGCATTGCACCATCAGTCATACCGAGTATTGTAGCCTATATTCATTTTACCCTGTTAGTATGGGAATGAGTACAGATATTTTTCTGGTGGAGGGGCTTGTGATATGAATGGTATGAAGAACAAATATGTAAGTAGAACGTGAACGCCATCACAATATCTGTACTTCACATGTAACGTCTTAAACCAGATAGAAGGGATGCAAAAGTAAGTTTTATACATATATAATAGAATGTGATTCAGGTGTTATGCTTAACCTTACGAGCATACATTTTTGTGAATTTCTGTATTATCCTTTTAAAGAATAGATAAGTGGTCATCAGATAAAACAACTGCTACCAATTACTTATATAAAGCCAAGTGTACCAGCAGCTAATTCCGTTTATACATTCATAAATGCGTCACTACGCGGAAATCTTTTGTTTCTCTACGTACCTTATCAGGCAGAAAATTCACAAACCGTAGGGTAACTTGAAAAATACCTTTCAAGAAACCTAGTGTTAGTTAACTACTATGCTTTAGTAATAGTCGATTAGGTCATAAGCAACTTTTTGTCTGCTAACATTGTGTCTTTATTTTCACTGACAAACAACAAAAACGTCTTGTATTTGAAAGCGAAATGAGCGAATGTCCATCGAGACGAGTAAAAATGTGGGGCGAAGGGATAACTAGGCTGATGGTTTTTGTTGTCAATGTCGTAGGTATTACTACTTTTTTCAATGTTACGAGCATGAATGTCAAAGATTTTCTTGAGTTTCCATAAAATTTTTCTTCATTTTCAGCTAACTAAAGTAAGTGAGCATTGAGACAGTTGTTTCCTCAGTGTCGCAAGAAAATACAGTGTTCAGGCGCATTCAACTATTTGAAAAGATACCCGTCTTAATGCATTCATCTGAATAATACCTTTTTGAGTTCTTATTAAAAGTCATTGTGTGCTTACAATCAAATCGTGTATGTTAGTTCTGAATAGTGGGTGAAATACACTAATTTCTGTCTTAGACAAAATAAGGTATCTTTTTGTAACTAGAAAGTAAACGTGAGTAGTTTAAATCCAAATCAAATTAGTGTACAAATATATAATTCCAGATTGATGTCACACTGTTATTGCTAACTTATAGTGTTCATAATATGGTAAATTATTATTCAGTCATTGCGCTTGCAATTTTCTTACTGCACAAAAGCTACATTGACTTCTCGTTTCTCCAAACGCTAGAATTTTTGGATCATAACAACCACTTGAATAATTGTATCAGTAATTGGTATCATCATCATAACCTGCAAATCATGTATGAAATTAAAAATATTCGTTGATGAGAAAAATGGAAATATTTATTTACGTTAAATTCAAGTCAAGAAGTAAGAATATTCAATGTCACAAAGTCATTTTGTTGAGGGTAAAAAATAGACTCAAGACCATAAGTTTGGATCTCAGCAAAAGGGTAGTTAAAGCTAACTTATACAGAACTCTGTTTAGAATAAAAGGCTATAAGTCTGTCCTAATTGTTGAACACGTTACTCTTAGGCTGTGATAAATAATATGCAGTAACAAAAACTGAATGATATTAGTCTTTGAACTTATTAAATAGAAATACTTATATCGGTGAACCACTTAGCTGACATTTGAAGAACAAATCCAAGTGAATTGAAATTATCGTTTCCACGCCTGAAATTATTATTATTATGCTTGATATACCCCACTAACTATACTTCTTTTGGAGACAGATAACCATAAAATTGATGTCTTATAATTCAAAAAAACGTTTTCTAGAGCTATTTATAAAATCATTTTAGTATTGCTCATGAACACTTTGAGTTTCCGTTACAGGTTATAATAGCGCAAAGTTAGTATGTTTCTCATTGCATACTAGGATCAGTTCCTCTTGAAAAAGATCGAGTAAGGAAATAAACCATTTCGAGTTCAATATGATGTTCTAAAAATGTCAAACCGATGTGTAGATTCGAGCAGCCTACTTAACCAACAACTGTCGAACGTCACTGTCATACATGAACATTAAGTGCACTTTACTTACCAATTTCAATGTTCTATTTCACCTGTCCAAATATAACCAGAATATTTCTCAATCTGTCAATGTCTAACTGCATCTTAAAAATGGTTGACTCTAAAATGCTCGTTTTTAACCTCTGAAGATGTTTGTTCCAAAAAACTATAACAAGTTAACAGTCACAATTTCTCTTTTGTGAAAAATGAGTATGACATGGTTTGAACGATAATCAGTCACTTTACAAGAAAAGTTCATTTTCTGTGATAAGCGTAAAATCTGACAAACGAAGTATTTTAGTACCACATGCACGAACACATCATTTCATCTTAACAAGAATATTTCCATCACAGGTACATATTATTAGCCAGAATAACACTAACCTCGGTTGATAAAACTAATCTTTTTGCTAACACACTTCCACAGTCTAAACAAGCCACTACGACTGATTTGTTAAATCACTGAACCAAAGTACTGATGCTGACCTTTGTTCCATATGATGAACTTATTTAAATGAAGATGAAGGTCATCTTCTGTACCCATATCGAGAGCATAATAACAGGTACGTACTCTTGAATAAAAAAGGGTCTTCCTAACAAGAACGAAGCTTTCAGGAGTAATACAAAATATTTGTTTACAATGCGACATTATACGCTGTGATTACAATTAAAATACACTGTACGTAAAAAAGAATAACATTCACTCGATGCGCAAGTTCTTCCAAAATATCTGGTCTTTTGATAATCAAAGTGAATTTAAACGGACTAAATGCCTCAGTGACTGAAGCCATTATTCTTCTTATTGTTATTATTATTAGTCCCTTGGGTTCCTAGTGGAAAACAGAACTTCAGTAGCATGTCGCCATTGCACTCTGTTCCCTGCAGTCTTTTGGAACTGACTCCACGACTGCCCACAAGCTTTCATTTCTTCCTCACATGATCTCCTCCATGTCACCCTCACCTGGGACGCCCAACTCATCATTTCCCATTCGGATTCGCCTCGACGGCATGTCCTGGCGCGTGATGTCCCCAATCGGCCTTCTCAGTGTGTGCCTGATCCAATCCAATCCATCTCCACTTTCTTCTGCATATTTTTTGGGCGATGGGTTCTTGGTTGGTTCGTTGCCCGGCGAGAGTTCCTTGTTGCTTATTCCTTCTGGCCATCCATCTGATCTTCAGTATCGAGTGAGCATAGGCGACAACTGTTGATGAATGTCTGTAGTTTGTTGGAAATGCTTTTCGCAACGCGCCAAGTCTCTCAACCATCACATGGAAGCACTGACTTGACGTTGGTGTTGAAAATCCGGATCTTATTCTTCGTGTTGAGTGCAGTAGATCTCCACACTGATTTCAGGCTAATGAAGGCCTGTCTTACTTCTCCGATCCTGGCTTTGACGTCCTCATCTGTGCCACCGCCTGTAGTTGAAACGATGCTGCCTAGACAAGTGAAAGAGACTACTTCCTTTCGATTTCTCCCGTAGGTGGTGATTGGTGCTTGTTGTTGTTGTTGTTGTTGTTGGGTATCTTCATCACCTCTGTCTTCTCTACGTTCACCTGGAAGAAGTTCGGTCTTCACTGCCTCGCCTCTTCTGGCAACTTGTTGGCTTTTGCCTGTAGATCTTCGAGGTTGTGCGACATTAGACATGAATCATCGGTGGAATCCAAATCTTCAAGGCTCTTTTCATCGGTCCAGCCAGCGTATGCCCATCTTCTCACTCCTCACAGCTGTCTGTTGCATGATCCAGTCCAGTTCATCACAGTCAGGAAGATAATCGGTGATAGTAGCCGGCAGCCTCATCTTACTCCTGTCTTCATTTCAAATGGCGTCACTGAGCTTTCCATTGTGAATCACTTGGCATGTGGTGTCGTCTTATAGTTGTTGAATGGGGGTTGATAAAGGTACATGGTACTCCGTTGTGTTGAAGCAGCTGCCTGGCAAATTACTTCTTGGTCGACACTGTCAAAGGCCTTTTCAAAATCGATGAAGTTGAGGTAGAGAGTTGACTGCCATTCTATGCTGTGTTCTATGATGAGATGATGCGCACATGATTTATTTTGCCTGAAGCCAGCCAGCCTGTTCTGGTCGTAATTTTGAATCCAGAGTATTTTTTAGTCTCTCCAGGATGATGCGGCATAATATTTTGTTTGGTGTGCCCAGGGACAGGAGCATGATTCCGCGCCAGATCTTGCAAAGACTCAGGTCTCCCTTCTTTGGAAGTTTGACTAGGTAGCCCTTCTTCCAATCTGCTGGTACCTTTCCTTCCCTCCTTCCAAACCTTCTGCAATAGTGGTGTGAGCGTATCCGCTGTTGTCTCTGTGTTTGTTTTCAGTGCTTCTGGAGGAATTCCATCTAGTCCTGCTGCTTTTCCGGATTTCAGCGACTTTATGGCGTTCAGGACTTCACTTCTGCTTTTGTCGGAGCTCTTGTGTTCAATGATAGTTCTGTGGCTGCAGGTGATATTTTATGGACAAGTTGCAGGTGGTGGTCGGTTCAAGAGTTTTTCAATGTGGTCAACCTATTGTTTCCTTTGTTTCTCCTCTTTACCGGTAACTAAGTTTCCTTCACTATCCCTCATTGGTTTCGTTTTTGTTGATCTATTCCCAGATAGTAACCCGGTTGTTTGATATGATGTTGTCAGGTCTCTCCTACCAGCAGCCTGTTATGCTTCACTTGCCAGTGTGTCGTAGACATGTCTTTTGTCCTTACGCACACTCTACTTCACTTTTTTGTCCAGTGTAGTGTTGTATAGGTTGTGTTCAGTTCCTCTTTTCGTTGTTCATCCCTGCACTGCACTGCACTGTACTGCACTTCACTGCACTGCAATGCGTTGGTTCATCTTCTGCTTCACCATCTTCCTCTCCCTCCTCTATCACCTTCCATGTGTCCGTCGAGATCAAATCCTTGTCTTGCTTCTTCTTCCTTCCTAACACGGTTATGCAGGTTTCTTTCCACGTCTCTTTCAAATAGTTCTAGTGCTCTTTCACATAGGTTTCTTCAGGGATGTTGCTGAATGTCCCCCATTTTGTCCTGATGGCTGATGTGAAGATGTCCTTTGTAGACTCGTCTTTCAGTTCACTTTCTGTTGAACTGTGGTCTATCACCAACTTCTGTGAAGGCTTTCAACTTGATTTTGGAAGTAGGTTCCTTGAACTAGGCAGTGAGTGATGTGAACCTACATCTGTTCCCTTTCTTGATCTGATCTTGTGTCCAGTAGGCTGCGTGTGTCTCCACTTTCTTAACATTGAAATGAAGTCGATCTGATTTTGTTGTGTCTGGTGAAGTCTATGTCGCTCGCTTTGTGAATATCCTTGTGTTTGTACACACTGTCTCCAGTCACCAAATCGTTAAATGTGCAAAATTCTGCAAACAGTTCTCCGTTCTCCTTCATTTCACCGAGTGTCTCTTGACCCATGATTGGTTCTCTTCCCGTGTTGTCCGCTCCGAGTTTGGCATTCATGTCACCCATTAGGATGAATTTTGATGTGGCCAACTGGAGTGGGGTTTTGTGCAGTACTGATTGCATTTGTCTGTAGGATTCGTTCTCCTTCGCTTGGTCTGCATTATTTGTAGATGCGTAGCGTAGCATTGTATGATTATGACTTTCCTGCCTTTTAAGTCGAATCTTGCCGTCATGATCCTGAAGGAGGAGATTGGTTCGCATTGCCTGAGAGCCTTTGATTCTCTTGGGGACATCATGATAGCCACTCGAAAACTCAGTGTGCTCGTGGTTGTCGTCTGAGTGACAATATCGGAGTAGATTATTGAGTCTGCAGTTAAGAGTTTGGAGAGTCCACTTCCATTCCATCTGCTTTTGCGGATTCCTAGCACTTCTATTCTGTGCCATATCTTCTCATTTCTTGTGCGATCCGGGCAGCCTTGCCAGCCAGCTACAAACCTTGTGCAAACATTTCGTGTCACTTTGCTTACTTTTACTTTCATCGAGAGAAGACACATCGGCCAATTGGCTCTCTGAAGGCTTTAATCAACCGGCGTCATTTCGTCTCTCCGATCCCAGCGAGGGATTAGTTTGTTTCTATTTTTTATATTTTCTTCGTGCTTTGAAGTTTCTTTAGCGATTGAATTGGTTTTACGGGGTAGGGTTGCTAGCTCTATGCCCAACCTTCCCTTTTTATCTGGGCTTAAGACCGGTTAGTATCTAGTTATCTGGTTATTGAGGCGAGGTTTATCGATGTCATATTGCAGGTTGTTGTTTATCAAACGCGTTAGATTTTCTTGGGAAGCTTTAGATAATCAATGTTTCGAATGCAGATTTATTTTGAAAATGAGCAGAAAATCGTGTATGCTTCCGATAAACACGAGTTGTATTTTCTTGAGTTTTCACGAACTGTTAGAACTGTTGTTCATGCAGGAAGACTCCTGGCTAGTAACTCAGAGGCTACTGGCTGAAATCCGTTGGTAACCCGTTTCCCCCTTTCCCCAGTCACTATAATCTTTCAGTGTGCGTTTTGTTGAATCAATTTCAAGCCTATTTCATATGCGTGTGTATACATATTACGAAATTCTTGTTGTTTAGGACCGAATTAGATGATCAAGTTAAACAACGGTTATCTAATGCCAATCGCCTAAGAAATCAGGAACTTTGTTTGGATAAATTGGAACAAGCTAAATTAACGGAAGAATTGGAGAGTCAAAGAAAACAAATGTACCTAAATAAGTTACAGAACCAGTCTGCATATAAAGAAGCTTTAGATTTCCAGGTTAGTAGATTTTCAATTCTGTATGCAGTTATGGATTCGTCAACTCACTTGTTTTTTTCCAAAATTCCTGTTTTATTGGTTTTTTGTCTTGAAGTGAAAACATGCACTACTGCTGAATCGCATTTGGCAATTATGTTATGTCCGTAAGCAAAGCTACACAAGCGTGAGTTTGGGGGTCTTTGTGACGATAACCACTTGGAGTTATTCAAGATATTCTTTTGGGTAACAATCATGACAGCACAGATGTAATGATGTCCTGTGAATTTTTCTTATTGATATTAACCAGTTTCACATAAGACCCATGGGATGGTTGATGAGCAGACTGAATCGCATTTTAAAGTAATGAGAGAAAATAGGAGAAATTACATGTCATAGCACTCAAGTACAAACTGCAACGTAACTCCAAATGGATGAATGTTACCCACTGATCAATGAAAATACAATGATCTACAAAAACACAAGCTATGGCTGATTACAAACAGTAGTATTATATCCAAGTGAACAAAATGTTCTAACTTTCCATTGCAATTCCTGTGAGACCTCTCGAGCAATGAAAGCCAAGTTTTTGAACAAACGCTAATGCTACTACTCATTGAAGCTCTTAGTTTTGCATTGAATGAAAACTTGTAAACTGCATTTCCAAATCTTATTAGATTCCATTATTGATACGTTTTACGTTATTCGGAAGGAGTAACGCTTCCTCTTCTTTAGTGGCTATTAGACGAGGGTCCCATTTATTTATGTCTGGAGATAATTAGGATAAATTCTAGTTTCCAATATATTTTATGTTTTGCGCGGAATTAATACCTTTGATCCTCTATGTGAGATTTTTTCAAAAACCATGGATGATTTTATGAAATATTCATAAATAACTAAAAAGGATCATCGGTCTGCTTGTCAGCAATTTATCGGAAACACCATGAAAATTTCTTTTAATCCGTTCAGAATTAAAGGGAAATCATGTAAACGTTACTGATGTAACAACAATTTTTAGTGGGTTTTATTGAATGCCTTTTTCCTGAAACTTGTGACAATAAGAAGCCAATAGTGATGAGTAAATTGCGGGAGTTCATTCTACTATTTTTTAATCAGATGTAAACACATTTTTTGTTAAATAACAATGCACCAACGCAAAGCATAAAACAACAGCATTCATAGTTAGCTGTAATATTTCAAGTCACAGGAGTTGTAGCTTTCATAATTTATCAATAAAGGAAAGACAGAATAATGTTGCTAATACTCTTGTCTCGCTATTTAGTGCTGGTAGCTTTATAGAAGTATTGGTTAGCCAGAATTTACAATATCAAAACCCATATATCCTCACTCGATCAAAGTTCTTACACATAGGTGATCCTTCGTTATAAAGTGGTTGGTGACAGATAAGGAACATTTGTAGTACATTTGGCACGATTAGTGTATAAATTGAAAATTCAAGTATGTGCGAACGAGTAAACCTCCCACCGCGGCACAAATTTTCACTTCACCTTCAATCATCACCCAGTATCAATACTAGTCTACCGAACCACGGCTATCTAAGATAGTCAATTTGGTAATCAGCATGATACTTCCCTTCTCTCATTCAGTTAGATTTGAATTGAGATGAGACATCCCGACCAGGCAACCAGTGTGAGTACAATCAAGTGGTAGTAACGCTTCACGAATTCACACGGGAGTCGGTCAAACCCTTGGCGATTAAAGTGAAATAAAAATCTGGTTACCAGTTGATACCCGTAGATCAGTTGGTAGAGTACCAAGCCGGAAACCCGGTGGTCGCTGGTCCAAATCCCACTGCGGTCTGAATTTTCACTTCACCTTCAATCACCACTCAGTATCTCTTATGATACGTTTGTTGATTATGTTAGATAATGGCATTGGTTTGAAACAAGGAGAAGCTGTGTTTTGTCCTCTTGTTTTTGCTGAGAGAATGTCATCCTATTCTTGCTAAAGGACTTAACCTAGCAAACGTGACGCTGAACTCATACGATAGTTACTATTTGTTTACCTTAATATTGCAACCCGTTCTTTTGAGGTGTGATAAACATCCGGTGGACGTAATTCCGTTCGAGACTTTTTATTTGATGTAGCGCAGTGGTATCGTATTATTTACTTTATTCACAAGTAAACTATACTGAATCGCTGTATGTTGTATCAAATAAGAAATCTAACTTGGAACTACATCGAACCACAATGCTGAAGTCTTACACTTACGTTAATCTGCCGAAGGTATTTACATCATGGAACCTTAAAATTATTTGACGATTTGCTTTCTGAATATATTACTTTTGTTTACTAAGATCAAGTGAGGTCTGTAAAACTGAGGTGTAGAAATCATGTTAATTCACAAGTGAACGTATATTATTGGAGGTTATTGAGATATATGTTGCTAATATACACCTTTAGTTTCCCTCAATGAATCGTGGTAGCTAAGGTCTAAACAAGTCAATAGGTTGTATTCTTACACGATTTTATTCATTTCGATATAGCTTTACGTAATCTAATCTAAGTTATTCTATATCGACACATGAGGATGATTTGCGTGAAAGAGACTAAACACCATATCAAGGAGTAAAACTACACAAAGAAGCATTAGTTTGATTTATCGCACTTTAAACCAGTACATAAGAAAGTCAGAGGAAGGGGATGCCCATGGTCAAGTATTTGTAACTCTTTTCATTACTTTACGTTCAAGAGACAGAGCTCACTGTACTAGCCGTTTGACAAACAGTCGTTTATTTCATGGGTACTGACGATAGAGTTCTTTGGTAAAAGTCTAACAAAATTTCATAGCTGACTAAATTTAATCTGCATCCAGCCAATCGGAGCTTACATGAATCCCTAGGTGATTTAAAAGCTCAAAGCCTCCTACCTCTTTATTCCCTATCGTTTAACTAGTCTAAGGGAAACCATCTTAGGTGTAATAGGCTCAGTCATATGCCAAATGTTGTCACATTCTCATTCGAGATTTCAAGGAAACATGCATTTCTAGTGCATTCCTATAGAAGGACGTTTACGCGTGCAAACTCCAGGTTAATCAGATGAAATCTGCAAAAGATTTTAACGTATGAGAAATCAGAGCTAAAATAAAGGATAGTATATTTTCCTGTTTACAATAAATTATTGTAGGAATGGTGCAACTGGAAGAAAGCAACGAACCTCACTGATCTTAGTCACGCTTTCATAAGAACCCTGAGTGATGAGTTAAACTACTACACGGCCTTGGCATAGGAATAACTAATGATCCGTTACTTGGTGTAAATCATGCGTATCGTTTTAACTATGTTCATACTTCTTGCCATCTTATTTTATTTATGTTATTTTCTTTGATATCGTGATTGAGAAGTGCAATGACTTGAACCAAAGCATTATTATCCCAGGCAGCATCATGACTTATAAAGTAACTCCGTCTCAAAGCATTATTTAACAGTTTTACAAGAGGTGTATAGATGAAAAAGTAAGTTAATATTAACATGAATCTACAGTTTTGTATCTGAAGAAAATCATTTGTTCTCGAATCGAGATTACTCGTTTGCTTTTTCACACCTTATCATAAATTATTTTGTCTGTCAGATTTCGAAATTAATTCCACGATTAGTAACTTTATTAATCATTTGTGAATCGCTCAGGCTTTTACAAATCATCTTTAACAACTTACTTCCGGGTGTGTAATATGGTCTTTTGAATATATCCATTCTCCCTGTAAATCTTTTCGTAGTGCATTTTGTAGCGTTGTATTTCACTTTGTACACAGTGTGTGAATTCAATCGTCATAAAAGGTCACCACTCTTAGCTGTAAATCAAAACAGATGAAAAATTCTATAGACCTCCAATAACTGCCTTCTAATTGTCACCTAAAACAGAAAGGATCTCAGTTCTGCATGTTTTTTGAAGTGGTTGGCGAGATTTTTTATTTACTACTGATGATATTTTCTACCAGTTTCTTTCTATCGCTTGCTATATACTTCAGTCTATATGTATTACAGATCATGAGTAGAAAGTTCATATTTCAATAAATGTAGGAACTCTCTTTTTTTAAAATTTTTTAAAACACACTTCTGTTCATTTATTTCGTAGATGAAACACAAGCCTGAATATATACCCAAATCAGTAAATAATTCAATGGGGTTAATGTTTAAAATATTTGAAGACAATGATAAGAAATTAGTTGAGCGTCATGTAATTGCAAAATCTGTCCAAAAGCATCAGTTGAAGTCGATCGAAGAATCTAAGAATCAACTAAGAAATGAACAACTCCATGAAAAGGAGCAAGAAGTGAAAGTATTAAAACGTGTTCATGATAAGTAAGTTATCATACTTTATCCACAAAACTATGCAACTATCAGAGCACTAGCAGATGACCAGTCGGAAATCGTGAATAGTCTTAAAACGTTCACATGAACAATTCATGAAAAGCTAAGTATATGAAATGCTTGTTATTCTGCGTTCCGCTTTTCTGCTTCATTTGTACGTAATTCATCTACTTAAATTCAAAGCACCACACGGATGCTGTAACTGCCAATTCATACTTGACTAATCTCAGGTAAAACATTGAGCAACAGACCTTTAGTCTCTTCACTTCTGTTTACAAACGACATTTCCTAATGCCATATCATAGGACAGAGTAAACTGCACAAGCTCGAATATGGCTACTTGAATTTAACTAGAGAGCTTTACTTGTCAGTACATGCTTACTCATTTTATATTTAGACACTAGTAAGACGTTTTTCGAGAAATAGAGTTGAATACCACTTCCAGGTCAAGATAAATGACAAGTTTCAGTCGCTGGTAGGTATGCCAGTGTTCCGTCATCGAAGAAGGTTGGAGATTTTATGGATGGGTCGTCGTTTACGTATAAAACCTTCCGGCTTCCCTTGAATTTTCCATTCCGGACCTCCAGTTAGATGTCAGATATCTACGAACCCTAAGATATTGGACACTATTAGTCAAACAAATTCTCCCACGGTTGTCACTACTAGCCTTATTTCTCTTTTTTTGGACTGGAATGATCAGTGAAGCAGACCAGTCTGATATGACTACCTCTGATAACCTTACACAACCTGGTACATCCATCAATTTAATTATTGATGTGATACCCCTATTTCCGTAAACTCCAAGTGGCGAACCATCAGGTCATACAGTTGTGCACAACTTTTAAAGTTGAAATACTAATATTTGTCCTTTAGGTTCCTAGTTGAACACAGAACTTCAGTAGCATGTCACCGTTGCACTCTGTTCCCTGCAGTCTTTTGGAACTGACTCCACGACTGCCCACAAGCTTTCATTTCTTCCTCACATGATCTCCTCCATGTCACCCTCACCTGGGACGCCCAACTCATCATTTCCCATTCGGATTCGCCTCGACGGCATGTCCTGGCGCGTGATGTCCCCAATCGGCCTTCTCAGTGTGTGCCTGATCCAATCCAATCCATCTCCACTTTCTTCTGCATATTTTTTGGGCGATGGGTTCTTGGTTGGTTCGTTGCCCGGCGAGAGTTCCTTGTTGCTTATTCCTTCTGGCCATCCATCTGATCTTCAGTATCGAGTGAGCATAGGCGACAACTGTTGATGAATGTCTGTAGTTTGTTGGAAATGCTTTTCGCAACGCGCCAAGTCTCTCAACCATCACATGGAAGCACTGACTTGACGTTGGTGTTGAAAATCCGGATCTTATTCTTCGTGTTGAGTGCAGTAGATCTCCACACTGATTTCAGGCTAATGAAGGCCTGTCTTACTTCTCCGATCCTGGCTTTGACGTCCTCATCTGTGCCACCGCCTGTAGTTGAAACGATGCTGCCTAGACAAGTGAAAGAGACTACTTCCTTTCGATTTCTCCCGTAGGTGGTGATTGGTGCTTGTTGTTGTTGTTGTTGTTGTTGGGTATCTTCATCACCTCTGTCTTCTCTACGTTCACCTGGAAGAAGTTCGGTCTTCACTGCCTCGCCTCTTCTGGCAACTTGTTGGCTTTTGCCTGTAGATCTTCGAGGTTGTGCGACATTAGACATGAATCATCGGTGGAATCCAAATCTTCAAGGCTCTTTTCATCGGTCCAGCCAGCGTATGCCCATCTTCTCACTCCTCACAGCTGTCTGTTGCATGATCCAGTCCAGTTCATCACAGTCAGGAAGATAATCGGTGATAGTAGCCGGCAGCCTCATCTTACTCCTGTCTTCATTTCAAATGGCGTCACTGAGCTTTCCATTGTGAATCACTTGGCATGTGGTGTCGTCTTATAGTTGTTGAATGGGGGTTGATAAAGGTACATGGTACTCCGTTGTGTTGAAGCAGCTGCCTGGCAAATTACTTCTTGGTCGACACTGTCAAAGGCCTTTTCAAAATCGATGAAGTTGAGGTAGAGAGTTGACTGCCATTCTATGCTGTGTTCTATGATGAGATGATGCGCACATGATTTATTTTGCCTGAAGCCAGCCAGCCTGTTCTGGTCGTAATTTTGAATCCAGAGTATTTTTTAGTCTCTCCAGGATGATGCGGCATAATATTTTGTTTGGTGTGCCCAGGGACAGGAGCATGATTCCGCGCCAGATCTTGCAAAGACTCAGGTCTCCCTTCTTTGGAAGTTTGACTAGGTAGCCCTTCTTCCAATCTGCTGGTACCTTTCCTTCCCTCCTTCCAAACCTTCTGCAATAGTGGTGTGAGCGTATCCGCTGTTGTCTCTGTGTTTGTTTTCAGTGCTTCTGGAGGAATTCCATCTAGTCCTGCTGCTTTTCCGGATTTCAGCGACTTTATGGCGTTCAGGACTTCACTTCTGCTTTTGTCGGAGCTCTTGTGTTCAATGATAGTTCTGTGGCTGCAGGTGATATTTTATGGACAAGTTGCAGGTGGTGGTCGGTTCAAGAGTTTTTCAATGTGGTCAACCTATTGTTTCCTTTGTTTCTCCTCTTTACCGGTAACTAAGTTTCCTTCACTATCCCTCATTGGTTTCGTTTTTGTTGATCTATTCCCAGATAGTAACCCGGTTGTTTGATATGATGTTGTCAGGTCTCTCCTACCAGCAGCCTGTTATGCTTCACTTGCCAGTGTGTCGTAGACATGTCTTTTGTCCTTACGCACACTCTACTTCACTTTTTTGTCCAGTGTAGTGTTGTATAGGTTGTGTTCAGTTCCTCTTTTCGTTGTTCATCCCTGCACTGCACTGCACTGTACTGCACTTCACTGCACTGCAATGCGTTGGTTCATCTTCTGCTTCACCATCTTCCTCTCCCTCCTCTATCACCTTCCATGTGTCCGTCGAGATCAAATCCTTGTCTTGCTTCTTCTTCCTTCCTAACACGGTTATGCAGGTTTCTTTCCACGTCTCTTTCAAATAGTTCTAGTGCTCTTTCACATAGGTTTCTTCAGGGATGTTGCTGAATGTCCCCCATTTTGTCCTGATGGCTGATGTGAAGATGTCCTTTGTAGACTCGTCTTTCAGTTCACTTTCTGTTGAACTGTGGTCTATCACCAACTTCTGTGAAGGCTTTCAACTTGATTTTGGAAGTAGGTTCCTTGAACTAGGCAGTGAGTGATGTGAACCTACATCTGTTCCCTTTCTTGATCTGATCTTGTGTCCAGTAGGCTGCGTGTGTCTCCACTTTCTTAACATTGAAATGAAGTCGATCTGATTTTGTTGTGTCTGGTGAAGTCTATGTCGCTCGCTTTGTGAATATCCTTGTGTTTGTACACACTGTCTCCAGTCACCAAATCGTTAAATGTGCAAAATTCTGCAAACAGTTCTCCGTTCTCCTTCATTTCACCGAGTGTCTCTTGACCCATGATTGGTTCTCTTCCCGTGTTGTCCGCTCCGAGTTTGGCATTCATGTCACCCATTAGGATGAATTTTGATGTGGCCAACTGGAGTGGGGTTTTGTGCAGTACTGATTGCATTTGTCTGTAGGATTCGTTCTCCTTCGCTTGGTCTGCATTATTTGTAGATGCGTAGCGTAGCATTGTATGATTATGACTTTCCTGCCTTTTAAGTCGAATCTTGCCGTCATGATCCTGAAGGAGGAGATTGGTTCGCATTGCCTGAGAGCCTTTGATTCTCTTGGGGACATCATGATAGCCACTCGAAAACTCAGTGTGCTCGTGGTTGTCGTCTGAGTGACAATATCGGAGTAGATTATTGAGTCTGCAGTTAAGAGTTTGGAGAGTCCACTTCCATTCCATCTGCTTTTGCGGATTCCTAGCACTTCTATTCTGTGCCATATCTTCTCATTTCTTGTGCGATCCGGGCAGCCTTGCCAGCCAGCTACAAACCTTGTGCAAACATTTCGTGTCACTTTGCTTACTTTTGCTTTCATCGAGAGAAGACACATCGGCCAATTGGCTCTCTGAAGGCTTTAATCAACCGGCGTCATTTCGTCTCTCCGATCCCAGCGAGGGATTAGTTTGTTTCTATTTTTTATATTTTCTTCGTGCTTTGAAGTTTCTTTAGCGATTGAATTGGTTTTACGGGGTAGGGTTGCTAGCTCTATGCCCAACCTTCCCTTTTTATCTGGGCTTAAGACCGGTTAGTATCTAGTTATCTGGTTATTGAGGCGAGGTTTATCGATGTCATATTGCAGGTTGTTGTTTATCAAACGCGTTAGATTTTCTTGGGAAGCTTTAGATAATCAATGTTTCGAATGCAGATTTATTTTGAAAATGAGCAGAAAATCGTGTATGCTTCCGATAAACACGAGTTGTATTTTCTTGAGTTTTCACGAACTGTTAGAACTGTTGTTCATGCAGGAAGACTCCTGGCTAGTAACTCAGAGGCTACTGGCTGAAATCCGTTGGTAACCCGTTTCCCCGTTTCCCCAGTCACTATAATCTAGCAATTGAATTTGATTTTACGGTGTAGGTTGGTTAGCTCTATGCCCAACCTTCCCTTTTTATCTGGGCTTAAGACCGGCTAGTAACTGGTTGTCTGATTGACCGTCCGATGTTGGGCAGGTGTGATGCTCTACTGTTATCATTTGACCTAAATTTATCTCTCGTACAGTGGTTCATTTTAGATTGACTCTATTTAACATTGTTGTAAAGGATAACTTTATAGGTCACAGGAATATATCAATTATTGAACTGCTTTTCCACGAGATGTATGACTCTTAAACATGTTGAATCAATATTCTTTCAGCGTAGAACACTTCGTTGTTATGGGATCATTGAAATTAAGTCACCTGTTTTTCGAAGATCTTAGCTTCTTAATGGCCATTCATAAATGTTAGTGACGAGTGCAAGTAGCAGCCCTGACTACGAATTATACATACAACGAGCGTCACGATAATCTATAAAAAAGTAGGAGTTACTTGTTAGATATTTTTTTTCAAACCCAGTACGCAAATATTTTTATTTAAAGCAGATGGAATATTTTTTTCTGTGGCTATTGATTTTTAGTACTCCCTTTGCTGATGTTAGATTGTAAAATCTTGATGTGGTTGTTGAGCCTACCATCCTGATTACCTTCTTCTTGTTGAGCAAGATTAATCTGATCAAAAAGTATCTTTGTGGCAGCACTACTTTTAAAATTCAGTTGTTTTAAAATCACCTTCAGGAATACTTCATTCGGAATTTCAGTTGAATTATTACTGGGCGAATGAGGGTGTCATTTCGAGTGAACTCCTGGCAGTGTTTTCTGTCACATTTCCAGGGTTATAGCATTTTGAATTAAACTGAAGTTGATCCACAAGTAGTCAGCAGTACGCGTGCAGGAAAATGCAATTCAAAATGCTTGTCGCTGTAAAAAACTACGAAGTTTATACACTTCCAAGCTTTTTAAATATCCTCTTCCGAACTGTCCTGTTTGATGCTGAAGATTTGAGTTTTTATCGACCACATCGTTTCTCATTTTCTGGGAACATCTGTTGCTTTCGAAAAGCCATTAAGGCCTCAAACAGGAAGATGGATGCATTGCTGAATTAACTTCCAAAGCATTGTCGGCTAGAAAGTAACTACAGAAAACGCAAAAAGACTACAAACAATGCAAAACTATATGAAATGCTGTGCTGCAAGTCTGCTTTTTGACTAGAACTACGTGTATCATGTGAGCAATTTAGAAGTCATGTGGCTAAAATTTTCCCTAAATCCTCATGATATATCAATGTATCATGAAGATTGTTTACTTTGCTGAACAGAAATGCATACCATTGTTAAATTGTATCTTTTTGAACCGAAAGTACTTATAATGAGAACGTTTCACACCTGTTTTAAGCCTAACCATTGTGTGATATTCATCGAGTATATTCACTTTCCAATATTTAAGAGGTTTTTAACAGTCATTTTTGTGGTAAATGGGCTGCGTTAGTAAAAGTTGGGCTTGGTATAAGTTGCTTATAATTACTCACATGACAGTGTTTCTATCTTTGGATGCCTAATGTATTGTCATTGTATAAATTTCTATTCAAATTTGTGTAACTAACTGATGTCCATGTCTTTGGAATAACTTACAAACTCTTCAGAAACATTTTACTGTATGTATAATACCAGATTTTATAGAACTGTCAACATAATTCAGTTAGTAGACTGATATCTAAGTATAAATGATAAATAATGGTGTCACTGCATTTATCTGGCTTTCAGTTTATTTGCAGATAAGTTGCAGAGAAAGCAAGAAGAAAAAGCTATGCGTCAGTACTTACAAAATGAATGGTTCAAAGCTGTACAATTGAAACGTGATAAAGAATTACACGAGAAGTTAAGAGACCGGAGTGATCGGAGCCTTTTGTTATTAGAGCAAACTGATGGGTACAAAAGATGTTCTCAGTGTAGACGTCGTCTAGATAATGTTGGCCAATCAAATATGACAACAGACACTTATGTCCGGGGAAGACATTTTGTCATTTAGTAGTAATCTCCAGTTACATACCATTTAATGGATACGATGCAGTTTTTTGTATTTATTCTAATTTAATTGACATTTACTAGCAAAGCGATATTTTAATATTTCTGAAAATTGCACATGTTATCTTAGTAATCGTGTTTTATTGAGTTGTTTTGCAGTACTCAGTGGTGTTTTTGAAGTGCTCGTTTTCAGTGCACTGAACTCATTAAACATCTTTCATGAATGCTTTCTCGGTACATATGGTGTGTTGTCTTCTAAATCACATTAAAATAATTTAGGAGTATGGGGGATTGTGACTGTAATTCGATAGTTGTTGCACATCTATTTTATCAGTCGTAACCGATAATAGCCGGTTGCCTACGAAATTTAGCTTCCACTCTATAACCAAAAAACACTTGTAGATTGTTTTCCAACCGGTACATCATACAATGAAACAGTATTATTGGGTGGACATCTCAAACACAGTTTATTGAGACATGGCCTACGTAATTCCAGTTTCCTCCCGCTTTTGATTAGGATATAGAACTTGCCTAATATCTTGAAGAGGCTCAGACTCAACTGTTGCACGTGTTTGGTGCTGATCACATAAACAAAGATTCAGTTGTCAATCACTCTATACATGCAACAGTCACGCAGTCCCATCTTGTTGTGCGATTTTAGGTAATTGCATGTATAAAAGTAACTGAGCTCTTCGCCGAAATTCCTACCAAACTGGCATTCACGAACCTTCGCTTCGTTAATCTTTCGCTGCAGAGCAAACTAATTAGAACAGTTTCTCAGAAGTAGGTTAATGTAGAAATCAGTGGTGAGCATGCCTTTCTTTTATGACAATGGTGCTTAATTATCAGAATTTCCAGGTGAGTTTTCTATTGCTCAGATTTACAGCGATTACCGTGCACCTTCATGATCTGAAAACAGGCTGAAACGTAACGGATATCTGATAGGTATGAGAAAGTTGTTATCAAAACTGTTTGCGTTCTGTTAGGAAGACAGTGTGTTCGCAACAAAAACGAGCAGGAGGAAACATCATATTTGCAAAGTAAATATGAATGATAATGAATTACACGGATCAAGGCATAGCGTTAATTTCACATTACTGACATCTAATTAGCTCATACGTTTCGCGGTGCCAGCAAGATAATTGTTATTATTTATGGTGGTAGTTTTTCTGATGACTGCTCGTGTTGGTTATTAATATAAGCTCGCAGACATGGTGATTGGCAGGCAAGTGTGAAGCTTCATACAAGATATTAGACTTTTAGTAACGTTACCTCATGGAAATGGAAGAGCCAAAAAAACTGACTGTTATTGTAATTGCAAAATATTAAACACTACTCCACGCTTTCAGAACAGTGACTGCACAAGAACTTATCAGACTTCTTACAGTATAATATAAGAGTCCAAAGAAAATAATTCTTTCAAGGATAATAATAAAGTTGATAGCCTTGCAACAGAAATTCATAGGCCCAAAGAAAAGTTCTGAGTAGTTGTGCCGATGTCAGACAGAAACTGATACCAGTTCAAAACAGGGCTGGACAAGGACAGGAATCTAATGGAGAAGAATTATTATAGGTTCACAACCTTCTGTCCTCAGACAAAAAATCTGAATCAGTGGATTCAGCTTCATCTGTCACTGTTGGATATGTATTCCCGGAATATCCAAATAAACAGAAGGTGGTATCGTTATTATGTGGATAGTTTCCAAGTGCCAAGGTCTTGCAAAAGCAATTGCAGTTATGATTTTTCGACATTATCTTGCAGCACCCAGATCATAAGTTTCTAAGTGATTCGCCTGTACAGCATGCTGGGGATGTACAGACCTATGCAAACTTCACTAGACTTACAAATTTGGCGCTGGCGGTACAGGCGGGGAGTTAATTCAGGGCGGTTGCCGACATAAGGTGAGGACTGCAGAGAAATGGAATTGGGCAGGTGAGGTTAATGGAAACAGTAACGATACCATTAAAAAGCGGTCTCCTTTCCACGTCCCTGAATTCAGTTATCTTAGAGAATAGGAAATACCTTCTGCAACAGCTGAACCCAAATGAACTGCTAACTATGGTGAGTGATGAAGGGAAGTGCTATAGTCATTTGTTTTATTCTTGTAGCAACTTGACGTAACCTGAGCTTTATATATATATATATATATATATATATATATATATATATATATATATATATATATATATATATATATATACTTCAACAATAACCTTCAGATCCCACTCACTTATGGCAGCTGGGTTTCTCAATTTATCGAAAAAAGAGATGTATATCTCCAAGAGAAATTCCACAGATGAACAACGAGGGGTGTTGTGGAATGCTCAGAAAACCTATGAAGACAGGCTAGGACCTAGGGGTTGTACGTCGTCTGAACAGTGAAATCTTACTGTTCAGCCACTATATCAGTCGTCGTGGTAACCCACCCAAACAGAATCGTCTGTCAGAGGGCGAAAACCAGTGCGTGTCCCAATGTTTCTCTCCGCGAGTTTTCGGCTATTTGAACCTATTATTGGCCGGGGTTACTACTATTCAGTCTATTAACAGCTACAAGAAGACCCACGGGTGCGTTTATCCAGCTGGGATACGGAGTATGCTGAAGCAACCGACGTTATCCGCGCAATCCGGCACAGTTATATTGAATCTCTTGTACTGCCACTACCATCGAGAACCTAACTCAACCTTGTAATTTCTTGTTGAACGTCCCACTTTTAGTTACCATACCCATTCCAATAACGCTACAATTTCCATCCCCAGAGTCATTCCTATGATCTCGCATGATCCTTCTCTTCCCTCTGACTATTATCTCCGACCACTTGTTACCAATCTCCTATTCGCTATCATCTCCTCCAAATCTACCTGGGTTTCACCTTCCCTTCCCTTCCTATTCTTTCCACCTTGTTTTTCACACTTCCTCCCCCTTGATTTCGCCAGACATCTTTTCCATCTTCTTTGTACAACCAGTCTGACCAACTGTCTGGCGGCACGACACTTGAGGAATGCATTGGTGCCACAGTCCTTGAAAAAAGTCATACAATCCATACACATACTGCCGCTGAACTGACCAGAGCTACAGCAGGGGTTTGCTGCTGTTTATGAATGTCACAGCAATCGTATTCCATACTGTAACTGGAAGTAAGAGAATAATTTGCTAAACCTTCTTCGATGTGGAAGATGGTTTCATTGTTAGTCATTTTAAAACGTGTTGGGCAATTGTCTTAATGAATCTAAGGTAATGGTTGTAATTCTATACTAATGACGTCTTTGCGCACAGTGGCTTAATCTTTGCGAATACGTAGGAAGAACACTTCATTAATGTTAAGTTAACTGCATTTCTGTGTTCTGTGCTTTACTTCTGCTGACATGTGAAGTGAATTTCTCTTAAGCCATGTTCATTTCTTAATGAGGCTAGTGTGATATGAAGGTTTCTGGTGAAAATATTGTTTCCGGTAACTTGAATAATACTTTTTAATGTCCTTGATTTGTGAGTGAGTATATTTGCCACTTTGTAATGAATGTGCTGCAACTAGACTTAACAAAAAGTGCTCCTCCAACAGGTTTGAGAACCACAAATTTTTCCCGTGGCTTGTTCTAGGAAATTTCTATTTTGCTTGTTTGAGGCTTTATGCTGCATTGGGTTTGCAGTTACTCACGCTTGTGATGCCGTATCATGGAAGGAGTGTATAAGGTAAGTTAGTGTAATTTTTAATCTGGCTTGCTTTGAAGAAATTAGAACCCGGTGCTTGTTTAGCACTCTTCCACAAATTGGTTGGTGATAATTAGACTTTCTCCCTACCCATAAAGGGATTTCAGGTACTTGAATTATAGTGGGTAACCTTCAAGACTACGAAGCATGTGGCATTCAACGAATATAATGGATAGATAATCTGGCTGTGTACCTCAGTGTTTTACTAATTAAGGAAAAAGTTAACAGAGTTCCCATTTCCACATTCAAGAGGCAAAACTGCGAAGAATGCATGTATTTAGGGACGCAGACGTTCTAAATTACACATGATGTTCTTAGTATTTGAGACAATGCGTGCATGTTGTTGATGAGAAAAACGTGAACTTAGCTTTCTTATTAGAAAATGAATGAGAATGGCATGTTAGGTCAAATATTCAAAGTGCGCCAGTGTAGCGTCATACACTTCTCCAGAATCAACAGTCTAGGGTTTGACAAGATTCAACATTGATGCTGACCTTCATAGTTTGACAAGTCTCGCTTAGCTAAAGGCACCCTACAGACTATCCGTGCCATTCGGCGTGCCGTCGTGCTACGTTACACTGTATGTAGTCGACCCTCTAGTTAGCTAGTTGGAGCGCATCGGTATCTTGGCCCGACCTCGCAAATATACCATTAAGTCTGACTATGCTATCGTGTTCTTTCTCGGTCTCCTATTTGTGGGTATATGATAAACACGAATAATTAGTGATTCGCATCTGCATCTGCGAAGTTCGCACTGGGACAAATCCTAAAGTAGGAAATCCTTCTCAGCATAAGGCAAAGGCACACACTATTCCTAATCATAAGACCAAAAAAACACTCTTCACGTGAGGCGCAGATTAGGTTTTGAGATGCGGACTTAGTAAAATATACAGAACCGAAGCAAGGTTACCAGGAGGTTACAGGTGTCACGGCAACTACATCGGCTTTTCTTTGCATCATTTGCATTAAGTGAGCTTTTGTCAATAAGAATTAGGCTGTGATTAACTTTGGTGTGAGGGAAGAAACGACAAATCTACGGGACCATTAAACATAACAGTTACGAACGTTGAACAAAGTACATAGTGTCCATTCAAATTTCAAATGGTCTTCATGGCGCTGTTTATTTCGGCACATTAGAAGACTTAACTGTAGTTAATGTAGCGGAAATAAGGGTTTAAGAGCCCCTCCTGAGCACTTTATCTGACGGTTTTATATTTGTTACAATACTTTCACCCCAATCATGGGTATTATACTTTTGAACCTAACCGACGCGGTATCATTTTGTTATTTGTCTGTA